TGATGATGTCCATGGGTCAGCCCACAGGAAACAGTTTTTTTTTTTTGAGAGAGAAAGAGAATATAAAGATCTTAGAAGGACGATGTCAGACCAAATCCATACTCATTTAAGTTTTGTAGAAACAAACATTTGCAAAACCTAATGGTCAAGAGATTGTGATTTTCCTTTTTTTTTTCTGAAGCAGCAATGCCATTCATAACTCATCAGAAAGCTAATTCATCAGACATATTCTGATAACCTGTGGTAAGAGTGCAAATCAACAGGGATAAGCCTGGAACTTCCAGCCAAGTTCACTGCTTGTCTAAGCCAGTACAACTCCAAAGATTCCAGTGGAGAAGCAGCAGTATACACGATGCATCTTTTTTCAGCTTTACAGTAGTTAGGAGTTTACCACAGGCGCAAGAAAACAGTGCCCTTTTCAACTAATATTCTGGCATTTTAAAAGCTATCGAGTTGTAGAACAAAAACACCATGATGCTCAGATGATGGGGGACAGAAAGAAGGGGGAAAAATTCCAAACTACAACTACTATGGTCTAATGGTTAGGACCAGGTACTGACACTCGAGACACAGTCAACTGGAATACCAGCTCACTGCATGACTTTGGATGAGCCACTTCACTTCCCTGTCCCCCATCCATAAAATTGGAATAGTCATTATCTACCTCAAAGCAATGCAGTGTGCTGTTAAATAATGGAAAGTGCTCTGTGATTCTCGGATGAAATGTAATACAGAAGTATTATCATGATCACTAAATTTAATTATGGAGTCTGCAAAGCCAGTTAGGACTGTTGAAATGATCACTTAGTGCAGCTGCTTTGATTCAGGTCCAGCCAGAGGAACTGTGCATACACATGTGTGTGTGTGTGTGTGTGTATTGAAGGGGAGACTTCATATTTAAAAATCTCATATTTTTCAAGCCAGTCTCATGATTCTGAAAGGCCCTGACTCATGATTTTTGAGCACTTGGGATGGCAACACTGCAAAATCTCACACATGCAATTCCCTATTGCGAGTGAGACACTGTGTGATCACAAACTGGAGCATGATTTGGAGGGGAGAGGGTTGGCTTGATGATCTCTCTACTAACAGATAGCCCACCTTATGGAAATGTTTAGTAAATCTGGCTTTAGGGAAGTGCTGGGACTGAATCCAGTTCTTCTCTAGCAACTGTGCTTTGAAATTAACCAGCACTTAAATACACAAGATTTCGGCACTCCAAGCACTTTTGTATATTTTTGTCCTGTAATAGGTTAGCTTGCCCCTTTAAGACCTAATGGCTTGAGCTCAGCCAACTCTAATCAGATGGCACACCGGAGCAGAGCTCAGGTGATTCCCTTATAAAAGTAGCAGGAAGCTTCAGAGAGAGGGGGTATGTTTAGAGGAAGCCATGGCAAAGACTGAGGAAAAGCTGGGGTGAGCAGTCTGAAGGCCAGGGATAACAGATTCCACCGAAGTGGAAAAAGTATCCGGCTCTGTAAGCTGCGAATGGCCTGTCAAGGCTGAAAAGAGCTCCAGAGAGGAGACTGGGGGAAGTTAAGAAACTCCAGGACAGAGTTCTGGAATTGTGTCTTATGCTAATAAATTGGCATTACTGAACAAAAAAGCCTATGTGGAAATTTATAAAGAAGCCCCCTGAAGAGGAGAACTGAAGTAGGATGCTGCAGAGCCATCTCTGGCCATGAGGGGGTGCTCTGGAGGAGGTTGTGTGACCATACATCCTTTATCTTTATATATACAAGCTAGGGCACTGTGCCTCACATTTGCTACAATCATCAACCCCTCTCTTTCTGGGAGTAGGCAGCCCCGGCTCTCCCCTTGCTGCCAGGGAGGGCCAGGCCGAAGCATGGCAACCCTGGCCTGCCCCCCACCCGCCTTACCCGCGTCTGGCCGCTGGGCCAAGGCCGGCCCACCCCTGACTTCCCCACCACCTGCCAGCTGCTCTGAGGCCGGGTCAGTCCCGAATCTCTTAGCCCAGCCACCGGGACAGTGGGGGTGATGCCTGCCCAGTCCTGGTTCTCCCCACCCTGGCTGCTCTGAGGCTGGGCCAGCCCCAGCTCTTCCTCTCCCCCCGGCC